CCGCGTCTGTGTCAAGGTGTCGCATTTTCGGTGGCGAGCGACCAGGACGCAAAGTGGGTTCTTAGGGTACAAATGTTTTTTGGGGACCAGTCCTTGGCAAAATTGCGGACTACCTATAGCTAGCTCTTCTAGAATCGGGATTTTTGGAAAAAGGAAGGACCGGTCCTCGGGTGGAAGTGGACCCCAAAAAGAAGTGAGGGGCGTTGCACCGGTCCTCGGGTAGAAGCGGACCCCAAAAAGAAGTGCGGGCATGTGAACTGCAAAAGGGCCCTCAGGCCCAGGCATTGCGCCCCGTCTTATCAAAACAGGGAGGTCAGACACAACGAAATTGTGTACCGTGTGGGCGCAGGGAACGCAGCCCTAAGGTAGCCAAATCAATGAGACTAAGAGCTAACACGATATATATATATATATAGGGTTCAGCCTCCTGATGAGTCGGTGAAACTCCGACGAAACAGTTTGTCACAGCCCCTCGTTTGTTGTCCTCTTCTCCCTCTCTGCTTACGGTTTACCGGGCAGTTCTATTTGACGATATATATATATATATATAGAGAGAGAGAGAGACTGAATGACAAAATTGAAATATGGGTCAAATTGTGACCGCGATCTATTTTGTAGTTGGAATTATTGTTTTAAATTTATTTAGCGTTTTTCCTGGAAAGATCACAACAAAATCTACGAGTACTTCAATTTTCAGGTTTTTTTCACGCATTGTTTTGAGCGTGAAAGCTCATTGAATTTGGAGTACTTTTTTAGTTGGTCCAGGCATGGCTAAGTGCCAGAAATGGAAAATGTGTCGAATCGGCGCAACAATTATTTCGCAGTGTAAATGATTTTTTGTAGATGTTCTATTATTATTTTTGGAACGAACACGACCTCATCTATGGATTCTCAAAATTTCAGATTTTTGTGCATGTTCGTCGGAGCACAGAAAATCGGCAAAGTTACCTCTTGCAAAACGCCTATTTCGTTGTGCCTGACCTCCCTGTTTTGAGAAGACAAGGCTCAATGCCTGGGCCTGAGAGCCCTTTTACAGTTCACATGCCCTCACTTCTTTTTGGGGTCTGCTTCTACCCGGAGACCGGTCCAACGCCCCCCACTTCCTTTTGGGGTCCACTTCCACCCGAGGACCGGTCCTTCCGTTTTTCAAAAGTCTCGGATCTCCCTCGGTCGCTCTCTGTGTTGTCTTTGTCGTCGTCGATTTCCAACATGTCTTCAATCTGGAGCTACTTTCATCATATCTAATGATTCTGTTCGTTGATTGATTTCGTCACCCTTGTTTCCAGATATGTTCATTATGTGTTCGTGTTGTCTGATGTGATTTCAAGTTTTAGAGATTGGTGGTAGCATGTTTGAAAAGATTTCAAACATTCCAACTCTTTCATTTGATCTTCCTTACTTGCTATTATGATCATCATTACATCGTCCACAAAACTCATACCGTGGATAAGTTTCTCATCAATTCCAGTCTACGCACACCATCTGTACTCGTCGAACGCGCATACCATGTTGGCAATGGGTGGGCTAGAGCCCTTCCCCATTGGTATCCCCATTACTTGGCATAATAATGTTCCTTGTACTTTGAAGTTTGAAGTATGCGTGTTTGATGTCATAGTACAACAGATCCATTAGGCACTCAATTTTTAATGTTTTTCATCCGTAGGTTCCGTTTGCTTTTCCAAAGTTCATGTATTTTCCTCTCATCTTGTAACACAAGTGGGTTTTTCGTTTTTCTTTTGCCGTTTTCATCATCCATTGCATGACGTTTAAGATATGTGTGTGATCGAGCTTCGAAAACATATCTTTGACGTCGTATGTGGAGTAGATTATCGTAGCCATATCCCCGTATGTTTCTTTTGTTACTTGATTGCATTTCTTCAGTCTAGATAGTAGTTGGCTCGTTCCTTTTAGTGAGAAACCAACTTTCAATGCTTGATACATGAAGTTGATAGCTCTTGATAGTACCTTCGATGCGTTCCGAGATGACTCCTTATATGTCGACACAATTGGTCGGCGTCTGGTGACGTCCTTGTTTTTTGGAATTGTATACGCATTTCCGTATGATCCCTGTTCATCTCATTCTGCGATTTTCTTCAGCCCACATCCATGATACGGATTTTTGGCCAATTGAGTGATCTCAGATTCCGTTTGTTGTATAATTTCGTAGTGATTCGATTCCGGAAAGAATTTTCGAGTCTTCTCGTACCAGATTAGGCCTTCCCCTCCCTCTCTCTCTATTTCTTTCTCTCTCTCACACTCATAACAATAAATGGAACAAAACACTCTCTCTCTCTCTCTCTCTTTCTCTCTCTCTCTCTCTCTCTCTCTCTCTCTCTCTCTCTTGTGTTAGCTCTTAGTCTCATTGATTTGGCTACCTTAGGGCTGCGTTCCCTGCGCCCATGCGGTAGACAATCTCAACTTTGAGGGGTATAATGCAAATTTCTCCTCAAAAAGAAGAAGAAGAGAGGCAAAAAAGAACACTCATGCATCCCACTAAAAACACGTGGTCACTCTTGATGACAACAGAACTTCATCTTTACGGACTACAAATTTCAGATGAGTTTTTGGGCCCCAAATAGGCCACTGAAAGTCGAAACTTGTTAGCCCCAGATAGGCCACACTGGAAACTTGTTAGCCCCAGGTTGGCCACACTGGAAACTTTTTGGCCCAAATAGGCCGCTGAAAGTGTACCTGTCTCGATTGGGCAGCCAGGTGCGTGGCCTTCATCTGGCTGGCTGCCGTTGAGGCTAAGTACATTTCCAGTGGCCTATTCCTGTCATTATGTCGTCGCAGTCAGTGGCCGAAACGAAGGACGTGCCCCGGACTGGAAACACAGAGCCTGCATGCCCCGCCCCTTTCTACGGAAAGAATAATGCTTGACGTCAACAACAAGCGGGAGACAACGAGGTGATTGTTCCCAACACCCGTTCTTTAGTCTGCAGTTCTGCACTTTCTCTCTCGAATAGAACTCCGTGGGCATTATACAAGTTTCCAGACCTGTCAATAATGGTGCCACGTTTCTACACGTGGAGGCAAATTGGCAGGCGGTCTGACATGTCTGCCCGCACCACACGTGTATGAATGAGCTTGCTCAGGCGCTCTGACGTGCATGGCCGCTACAGCTCGCCTCTACCTTATTGCATGTTGTTAGTACCCGATAAGTTAAGGGATACACTAACCGATAAATCACACTAACGGACAAATTAACGGACACATTAGCTAAACTAACGGATGAACGGTCCCCCCAACGCAACGCACCCTCATTATGGCTGTACCGGCTGGAAACATCGCCTGCATGCATTCATTATGACTTTACGTGGCGGAAGACTGTAGTGGCTCTCCTAACGTAACGAATGCACCAACAGATAGACTAACGGATACGTTATAACAGATACAAGTTGACTCACCGCGGCTACGCCCTTCTGGATAGCGCAGGCGGAGCGGAAACGAACAGGGCAGGCGCAAGGAGATGATTGTATCAGAATGCGCACATCGCAAAGAGAAGACAAGAAAGTACGGAAAGAAAGGAAAAAGAAGAGAAAGTTAGATGCAGGTGCTATAGGAGGTCATTATGCACAGAAACCCAGCCGTAGAAAATCCAAGAAACTCTCGGCTCGGCCCGACACGGCTGTGGGAAATCTTCCATTCGCATGTTCGAGCGCGTGTGTGTGTTGTGTGCTGTCACGTTCGATGTGTGTGTGTGTGTGTGTGTGT